CCTGGTCACACCTTCCTGCTCAGCCCTGCTCTCTCTGCTGCCAGGCAACCTTCTGGGGGGCAGATGCTGGTCAGGAGGGAAACAAGGTGGGACCAGCCCCCACGGAGCTCACCGCCTCCCAGGGAAAAGAGACAGCATTCCAGTCACCAGACCAATACCCTCCCTGCGGTCAGGTGTCCAGAGCAGAAGTGCCAGGTGCTTCTCAAAACAAATATGTTAGTGGGATATTGTTTTTATAAAGTGAGTATTTTGGGAGTTCAGGTGGATTTTTCAGAGACAGTGGTGAGGATCCTGAGATGGAAAGAAAGAGGACCTCGCTGAGATTTAGATTCTCTCAAACAAAATACGTTTTGCTATTTATCAGTTAAGACTGAGAGTGACTTGTGTGCCTAAAGCCATTCTGTCTCTACTTGGGACAATGCGTGGTGCAGAGGACATGAACGGGACACACACGACAGTCTTACATGTATCATGTGGACAAGAGGTTCCTAAGCACCCGGACTGTAACATGTTTCCTGGGCAGGGATGAGAGAAGTCACGAATGTGGTTCTGGCTGTAATATGCCCCTTCCTCCATGTCTAGTCCATCCTCCAGGGAAATCCAATGAGGCAACTCCCTGTGTAAAGTCCTGCCATGGTTGCTTAATGCCTATGGCATAAAAGCCGAAGTCCATGCACTCCTGAATGCACTGGGGAGCCTGTCCTGCCTCCTTCCGCCCAGCATCTCCCCCAGCCACCCCACTGCCCACTCCAACGTCACCCACTGTGTGTCCCCAAATTTGATGCACCTTTCGCCAGGCCACATCTTCACAAATGCCACAGCCCCCAACCCTCCAGGCCCTGCAATCCCTCCTCAGGGTCCGTGGCACTGGGACACTTGCGTAGTTAACTAGAGCGGACTCCACACCTGGCTCCCCCCGCTGGGCTCTGCACCACTGGAGGCAGAAAATTCTGCCTTATTTATCTCTGTAGTTCACCAACTAAGTCCAGTGATTGGCTAGGCGCAGAGCTGATAGCTGATAACCGTTGGCTGACTAAAAGGAAGGAAAGACACGAATGCGAGAGGAAGTCGAAATGTGTGACAAGTCTGTGTTTATCTTCCTTTCGATAAGTCTAGCTTTGGTTCAGTCTTGTTTAACTTCCTTGTCTGATTTCACCTGTGTCCCACTAAGTACAAACCAAAGGGTCACACTTCAAGCCTGGGGAGGGTTTAAGAGAGACAGCCTTGGTAAGTTGTTTCCCCCTATGAATAAAAAGAAAATATGAAGCCAGCATGACAAAATCTCGTTACTTGTTAATTTTGAGTGGAGGTAGAATCTTAAAAACCCTGGTTAAAACAAAAAAAGGAAAAAGAAAAATGGAATAATATCATAGTTATTTTTATGATGGTAGACATGAACCCATTTGATTACTAAAAAGAGTTTACTGGGTGGTGCTTGGTTTGGGCACATTCCTAAATGGGGGCTGAGGCAGCTTCAGCAAGGGCTGCCAAATGGCAAAGGTGCTGGGGGTCCAAGTCACCAAAAACAGGAGGAGGGGGTTCTACAGAACTAAAAACCCAGAAACTTGGCAAGAGCAGAAGTCAAAGACATGGCAAAAATTTTTGAACGCTGTATGTTAGACTATTACTACATTCAATAAGCATGCATATTCTTTCTTAGAATATTCTTGTTTACCGATCTTAAAGAACTCTCACTAAAATTCCTGAAGTATCTCTTTACATCAGGAAAAAAATAATTTTTCTTTCTTGGTTTAGAAATTAAGTTTCTTAATGCATCAAAATTATGTGACTGATATTTAAATAAAGAAAATAGAGCCCATTTGGTGGAAAAATTAAGCATAAAAAGGTTTTGTTAATTCAAGCTATCTTAATGTTACTAACAAATAATATTTTAGATAATGTCCAGCCTTAACAAACCAAGCAATTATACATTAAATACAGATTTCTAGACATTGTTGTAAATGTCTTGAGGGCAAGAACGTCTGTTTTCTCTTTTACAGTCTCTCTAGCAACTATCACAAGAACCACCAAGAGTCTACACAACAAATAATACCAGGGAAGACTCTACCTTAATGCAATGTCTATAGTGGCCATTTTCTGGATAATCAAGAAACACAAACAAGAAGATCGAGAAAAAAATCAGTGAATTAGGAAGCATACATTACAAACATATTTACATCTTTTCATAACAGAGTAAGGGAGAAGTAAACGCTGTTGAAACTGATATTGACATCGTGTTAACCTCACTGTTGTCATTCTAGGAAGATCAAGGAAATTATTCATTAAAAAACCCTAAAGACTTCAATTACACATTCTCCCTGTTACCACTTTTTAACACGTTTTTTTTCAAAGTGCCGGAATGAGAAACATAACGCCTGTAAGTAGCTCGTATCATCAACGGCTGCTCCGTGAGGAGTGTGACTCCTGCTTTAGTCAAGTAAACAGTAATGCAATGCAACAGAGCTCTATTTCCTTTCATCTGAATCTGAGAGTATTAGCTTATTTTTTCATCTGTTACCATGAATATCTTACAGATGCCAACTATTATGCTTTATTTTCATCTCCATGGTGATAACATTTGTCTAGAAATTCTTTGATGGAGGCAGAGAGCTATGGCTCCTTAATCCACCTCTCAGGGACTAAGGAATTTCTAAAATGAGCAGCCGGAGGGAGAAGTTGCAAGGGGGAGCTGCTGGACCAGGTCACTGGGCACATTCAGTTGGTCTCTTTCAACAGCACTTACCGTGGCCCACTAATCCAGGGGCGGCAGCCTGCAGAGGTGCACACACCACGGCCCTTTACCCCTGAGTACTTCGGTGGGCATTTTCTAAGAACAAGAATATTATTCTCTTTCCTAATCACAGACAGTACAGACACCAAATCCTAGCAACTTAACATTAATATAAAACTATTATCTGATGTAAATCTAATCCAGAGTCCAAAGAGTCAGGACACAGCCATGTTGCAGCAACTGGGTACCTTGGGCTCACTGACCTTTGTTCACGTGGGGACGGGATCAGGGAGATGAGAGCCTGAAAGGTGTGGTCAGCTATGAAATGCTGACCTTGATTTATTTTGATAAGAAGAATGCAACACATGTAGAAGGAAATTTTAAAGTGTTGTTACAGCAATGCTCTTAATGAGCTTGAAACAACCATACTCAACATCGATACCAAGTCCTAAAATCTCACCTAATTACAGTCCAATTTCATCAACTGACTCTTATTCATCACCTGGTCCTTTTACCAAAAATACTTCTCTAGTACGGAATGTAGTCCGGGATCATGCATGACACTTAGCAGGAAGCCCTAGCCTCCTCCCATCGCAGATGGTGCGTGACATCAACACTGTTGAAGAGGACAGGTCTGGTATTTTATAGAATGTCACTCAAACTGGGCTTGTCTGCTTTTTCTTTATGATCTGAGTTATGTAATTTTTATTCCAGTACATAACTCATGGGTTGTGGGCATACCACCTCTGTATTCCATTACTGGTAATACGAGTTCTGATAAATTTGTTAAGCTGTCCAATTTCTCCACTGTATAGTTATTATTCTCTTTTTATGATTATTAAGTAATTGTGGAGGGATATTTTGAGATTATGTAAATGCTGTTCTTCATATACTGATTTGTTTCTGAATTGACTTTTACTCTGGTAGTTGCAAAATGAGATTTTCAATACTATCATTATTTCTATACTTATTACTTTGATATTCTACTGAAAGGAAAAGCATTTCCCTCTTCCTTGTGAATGAATATATCTATGTAGATATTTATTTACCTACTGACCTCACCCGTGTCAGTAAGAACTCAAGGATTCTCCCCATACAATAGATATTATAGTGCTGTCCTTATTTATATTGATGCTCCAATCTGATATCCCAGTTTTGGTCAGTGGGACCCCAGCAAGCTGCTTCCAGCATCCTGGTGGCACGCCCACTCGGTTACGGAGCACTTCCTTGGGTTCTTTATATAAAGGCAGTCCAGGGTTATCCTGCACCTTCCCTATCCTGGGCCTGGGACCCACCATTTCTCTAAAGAGGCTGGCTCCTGGTGGGAGGCAGAAATATTTACAAACTAGATTTGGGCACTAGGTGTGCTCAGATATGCTAGGATGACACTGCTTCTGATTCCTTTTGGTTGACAGAGGTGAGACACCACACACACACACACACACACACACATACTCTCTCTCTCTCTCTCTCTCTTTCTCTCTCTCTCTCTCTCACTCACTCTTATCAAATCATGAGTTTATGCTAAGAACTCTAATTCCAGCCAAGCTCCTCAGGGCTCTTCCCCGCCTTCCCCTGTTGTGTATTTGTATTTCCCTTCTTCCACAGGCAGATCAACCTATTTCCTCATTTTCCCAAGCCCCATAATTCACAAAACATAATCTCAGAATTGTTGTCTCATACCACTATGGAAAACAAGATTCATTTGCGTTTTTTTCTTTAGACTGAGGGTATATTATGTTCAAAGTTACCATCATTAATTTTTCTCCCTCCCCTATGATTGTGTTATTCATGAAAAATACCTGGTCATTCTATTGATCCAATGGTTGGATCATTTATTTGCCTTTTAGTTTTATGGTCATCCCTATCATTGATTTGCTTTATGAACATGTAAAACATTGACTAGAGCCTAAAATCAAAACCATACAAAACGTAGACTCACAGGGGCACCACTCCCTCCCGATCCTTCTGCCGCCTTTTCGCCCACTCCTCTAGGGAACCAACTTTAGTAGTTTCTCGTACACATGAAGTATTACAGAATTTAAAATGATGCATGCTTTTTTTTTTTTTTTTCAAATCATGTCTTCCTCAAACTCATAGACCCACAGGAGACATAAAGGTCAAAGTGTTGATCACTGTTACAGGTGGCAGTTTAACTGCTATCAAAATCTTTGTATTTATATGCTTGATTTCTTTTATGTCTTGTTCACCAAAATTGCTTTAAGTTTGAAACATGGGTTTAGGATAAATTCCAGGTGTTCCTGATTACCTGTTCTTCTGAAACCTCTAGAGGATGGGATGCTTCTTGTTCAGAATGCTGACCATCCTGATAGTTTGCATTTCGCCGCTGACGTAAAGGAGGGAAAAGACGATTCCAGTTGATCATGCCTCCCTAAAAAGAGACCAATACACACTGATGAGACGCAGAAGGAGCAGAATCAATGAAATACCTGTAAGGGTTTTCCCTTGCAATGCAGTCACATCTATAGACTGGGAAATAAAATGTCATAATGATCTGCTCAATGCAAGCAATGCAAATCCTAAATTATCGTACCATCCTTCCTTCAATCAGTAGAATAAATCAGTAGCCTGCAATAGGTGCACAGAGAGAAAAGAAGGTACCTGGTACCAACAATATTATTAGTGTGATTTGGCTCCGGAAGGCAGACATCCCCAACCTCAGCCCCACTGACACTGTCCCATCTGGTTGGACAAGGGACTCGGTGAGGGGGGTATTGCTGGGGGTGACAGGAAAGAGGATTTCCCGCAGGCAGCCAGAACCCTGGAGCCTCCCTCCGTAGCTCTTATGTTGACATGCTCCTCCTCCTTTCTCTTCCTGCTCCTTCCCTTTCCTTCTTTTATTTACGCAAATTTTGAGCGTGCTCAGGGGAGGGAGACTGCAGGGGGAGATCACAGCAGGTTGGGGGGCTGGCTTGGGAATGAAAGTGAACTTCGCACACAAGGACAAGAGGGTCAGAAGCGAGGATCAGACCTGTCCTCCTGAGTGGCTCCACGGGTGATGTAAGACTGATGGTGACGTCCTTTCTTGCTTATTCTATATCATCAATGAAATGAAAGCCACAGTGTGAAGAAAAATGTGCAACGCATGGTGCTTTTCAAAAAAATCTGTGTTTTTAGCAACATGCCAATATTTTAATTACCAAAAATTACAGATTAACACCCTGAAATGTTTCCTCTTATAAATATCTAAAAATGCTGGGCAAAATGCAAAAATATTGCATATGCATAGCTGAACATAAAATGAAGAAATGGAAGCCCCAAGGTGCCAGAAACCAGCCCTGGAAAACCCAAGCAGTAAGCGAGCAAGTGGCCCAGGATGAATACACGGGGTGAGCACACCCTGCCTGGGCTTTATCGCCCGTCTGGGATCAGGATGAGGCCCTGGGTTTGAAGGAAATGGTGGCTTTGAGCTCATTACCCACTCAAAGGCACAACCCTCAAATGGCAGCACCTGCTGTGAAAGAGAAGCTGTGAAAAAACACACCAAATGGGCAACCTTTCTGAGGGGGAGAGCAGGAATCTTGGGCCTGCCTGTGAAATGAGAAAAGAGAAATCAGAATTTGGGGGTTCAAGTTACACTACATATGTGTTCTAAGAAACCATCAAAAATTACATACAAATTGGTTCTAGGATAGAGAGGGATACATCTGGGAAGCCAAGCAGAAGCAAATGTAACCTAAACTCTGGAGAGTCACTCTCTTATCCTGGGATTCCATGGGATTTATAGATAAAACTCCAGGGGGGAAGATGCAGAATCCAAAATCACAAAACTCATGTGAAAAAAGACCACCATAAGCAAGACTCAGTGTGTACAATAAATAGTATTAGATCCCCAAGAACTTAAATTTACCACAGTCTGAAAAAGACTATAAAATTAGAAAATGACTAAGATATAGAAGGACTTAAAGATATTATAGAAAAAAAGATTTGAAAAAAATAATGGAAGTTTGAAACAGAGACATTATGCAAAATTGTTTTGGAGAAATAAGTGCAAAAATATTAGTCATCACAAAAATACAATTGACCCTTGAACAATAAGGGAGTTAGGGGTACCCACCTACCCTGCAGTCAAAAATCCACATATAACTTTTGACTCCCCCAAAACTTAACTCATAATAGCCTACTACTGATTTTATGGTACTAAATGATAAAATAGACTAGTATGTACATATACTTTATGAATTCATGCCACATCTAACTTTCTCTTAATTTTTTGGATATTTCTAGGTGACAGAGCTTACCTGCAACTTTTTCCAAATGTTGAAATCTCCAAAATATTTTCCAATATATGTTGGATAAAACCCATGAATAAGTGTACCCGTGTAGTTCAAACTGTGCTGTTTAAGGGTCAGCTGTACGCACGGACAAACCTACCAGATGAAAGGCTGATATTCTCAATTTTGAAGTCTTTCCTTTCCCCCACCCCCAACAACAGACAAACCTAAAATATAAAGACATAGACAAAGTGATGTAAAAAGATGGAAAAATATCAGAGGAAGTTGACCAAAGAAAGCTGATGTGAGTATATTCATGTCAAATAAACAGACTTCAAGGGCAAAAAAGCCATTACTAGAGAGAAAATCACTAGGCCACGTCAATATTATTTAGATATTACACAACAGCACCAAAATATAGAAGGCAAAAATGAACAGAAGAAGTAGAAACAACCAGATATGTATTTAATTTTTAGCATATGTTGATAGATCAAGCAGATAAAAATTACAACTAAGAACATAAATAACATGTCTGTCTAACTGGATATGTATAGTCTGTACTCTATATTTATATAGAAAACACACATTCTTTTCCATTTTATGTAAAACATTTATTGAAAGTGACTGTGTGACATATACACAGTGGAATA